AGTAGAGAAAGAAGACCTACCTATTCTCACGAAATTTATTAATACCAAGTTGTTCGACCAAGCTTTAAATGTGTGTCGATATAGGGACACTAGTGATTGGGAAGGAATAAAATTAATTTTATTAGACGCTTTCGAACCTCAACAATCCACTTCTTCATTGCAGGTAGCATTAAATTCAGTACGTATGAGAGGTAACGAAGATGTAGGTGCATATGCTAGACGTGTAGAACAGTTATATTTCAATCTATGTGTAGCAAGTACAAAGGGTAAAAGTACAGAACAGGCGAATACAATCCGCGATCAGTTAAAGGAACAAACATTGGTAGTTTTTATAAAGGGGTTAATACCTAGCTTAAAGACTATCGTGAAATCTCAAAAACCACCCACTTTAGAATTAGCTATACAGGTTGCTAAGGATGAAGAAACTGAATTTAAGTCTGAGTCAGATGCATACCAATATTATAGAGGCAATAGTTCAGGTAGACAAGAAAACAACTCTAACGGGGATACCAGCAATTCTAATAGGCGGAATAATAATTTTAATAACACTAATCGTTATAATAATTATAATGCACCAAATAATAATAGACCTCAAAGTAATCAAAATCCAAATTTTAACAGACCTGATATAAATCACATTAATAGAAATAATTTCAACAATAATCAATATCAGCCTCGAAACAATAATAATTTTAATCGCAATAATGACGTAAAAAAGTATCACGAAAATCCTACTTGAGGATAATATTTGAGTAAGAATGTAAACAAAATAAAATATATACTGGTCAATAAACCATTGGAGATTTTAATTATTAAGTACTATTATAATTGTTAATAATCAAACATTACTATTAACCAACACTTTATTGTAATCAATAAATATTATATATGTAAACTAACATTTATTATTATAACATTAAATATTATATTAATATTGTATTGGAACTATTGTATTTTAATCAATTAATTTAATCGAATTACTAACAAATATTTTTATCTGTATTTAAATTTTATAATATATGTAACATTATTGTATCAATTTAATCAATTGTAATACTCTAGACGAGTAATCTAAAAAAAAAAAAAAAAAAAATGTACTAAAAATTATCATGTAAATTGTCATAATAAGACAATGATTAATTATTTATATATTGTATCTGTAAACTCATGAACTATGTAATTTATGTAAACCAATTGTAAACTTTTATCTATGTAAAATTTTAAAGCTTTTTGTAGCCCTACAAAATTGTAGCCCCACAAAAACCTTTGAAAGGGCGGTGAGGTGTAGCGAGCTGTGACTATTTTGCCATATGGTTTAAACACATTATAATGTATACGTAATCATATAATATTCGCACCGCGTATATATAAATATTATACTCGAGCGCTTCTTCGAATAGTAATAATATAATATCAATAATAGTAATATCGAGCGCGTGACCATGAGCGGCGTGCGACAATAGATATATGACTACGTATATGGATAATCCTAAAATAATATAGTTAGATTTGTGCTGTTATTAATTATTTATTAATTATTGTTGAATAACACCACAAATGTGCTATATAGATATATGTGGACTTCCGGCGCGTGCAAGCGTGTGAAAATCACAATAGGCTTAACCGCAAGACCATATATGGTCTTAGAAATCTTAGAAAGTATGGAAGTGGCAAGGGACAGAGATCCATCGAGGAGAGCTGATGGACAAGCGTCCATCAGACGAACAACCAACCTCAACTTCAACAGTCACACTAAATACTCATAGTCACAACTCGCTTTTAGTTAATTATTTGGACTTAGAATAAATTCCATAAAACTGTTTTATATAATAAATACAATAAATACTATCAAAAGAGGTTTTTGTTCAATTATTGCTTCCAAATCAACAAGTAACGCTGTTGGGCACGTTACAATATACTCACTGGTCATCACCCACTGTTTTAATTTTAAGGTATAATAATGTATATATTTTTATTCATGAGTAGTGCTAGGATTTATATGCATTTGCATATTATTTTTCGTAAGTCTAAATTGATTGGTCGTGATATATATCCACGATTTATCTTATCCTCGATTAAATAGAACCATTTTTTGTTTGCATATTTTATAGATTTAAGAGAATCTTGTTAATTTTGTTGATACAGGAGAATCAAAAATCAGAATTTTTATACCACTGAATAAGACAATACAACTATTTATGTGATCTTAGTTGCCATCTATAATAAGTATGGTACAACTCGCAGGGTGCGCACGCCTATGAGCCCAACCCGTAGAGGTGCTGGAACAGAGATTTGAGATTTACGATTTGAACTTTTTGTTTATTGGTTGTAGGAGAAATAATTAGTATAAATTAGTTTTTAATTATTACTGGTTTATATTGGTAATAGTTATTTGTCATTAAGCATGGAACAATTCGAATTTTCACACATTGCCTACCAGCCTGAGTTGCACTTACTTCAGCGAGTTACACCCAAAAGCCAAAAGGAGTTGAACAATCACAATTTGTTTAAGAGTTTTCATTGTTTACGGCATGTAGCAGGATCGGCTATTATTATATTTTCATAAAATAATTTTGTGGTTACCAGGCAACCGGACCTTGCATATTATAGCAATTTGAAAAATTAGTTTTCTACAAATAGAGTTTGTGATCAGTACTGAGTGATTCTTTTATCAAACAACACTCATTATTTCAAAAAGTGTAAATTTTTTTGAAAATATTTTTTTACATAGTTTCAAGTCGCTTATAAAACAGCGTTTTTATTAAAAAATTATATTTTTAAATATTTTTTATCCTTATAATTTTTTAAGTTTATTACTTTTTTGAATGACAACATAGGGTTTTAATTTTATATTCTAAAGTAGAATATTTTTCTTAGTATTTTGATACATGAAAATTGAATTTGGGCGAGTAGTTTATGAGTTATAAGTATTTAAAGTTTAGACGAGCGGAGTGGAGATAAATGTTTGTCGCAAAATACTAAGAAAAATATTCTACTTTAGAATATAAAATTAAAACCCTATGTTGTCATTCAAAAAAGTAAAAAACTTAAAAAATTATAAGGATAAAAAATAATTAAAAATATAGTTTTTTAATAAAAACGTTGTTTTATAACCGACTTGAAACTATGTAAAAAAATATCTTCAAAAAAATTTACACTTTTTGAAATAATGAGTGTTGTTTGATAAAAGAATCATCCAGTATATTACTGTATTTTTATTTATATAAAATAACAGGCGTTTTTATGTAGCTATTTTCTGACGATACAATTGATCTTATTTGGAACAACTCTGTGAAAAAAAATTAGAATGAAGTTCAATAGTGTCGTCAGAAAATTGGTAGGTACATAAAACAGGCCTGTTCTTTTATATACATAAAGATGATAATATTTTACTTGGAAAAAAATTCACCTAAATAATAGTTACTAGTATAATATTAATTGCTATAAATTATAAAATATTTTTTTTATAGACATTTGGGTTCCACATGAAACTTTTTCCTAAGAGTGCCAGGGTCGTAAAAGTTTGGGAACCGCTGAAATAAACAACATGATGGGATCATAAAAGTCCGGGTTTGATTCAAGTAGGTTAGGTTAGGCTAAACACATTACTTGATCACTAATTGTATTATAATATTGTGATTAAATTATTATTACTAAACCGATCATACCTTGTAGGCTGTAAGCCTGTAACCTTACAAGATACAGACTACAGTAGTACGGTACATATTATGTAATTGCAACTATAAATTGTGTATTTTTGTATAATTGTATGTTTATTATGGTAATCAGTAAAAAATACCAAAGAAAAAAAAGAACACGGAAAAGAGCACAATTTTTAAAAATTTGAAATATACCTACCTGTTAATGGATTATCACAAAATAAAAAAAAATATTAATGTCAAATTATCATTACCTAAATTACCGGTAACAATGCAAACCAACAAAGCTAATTGACAATATTGTCTAAAAATTCTCATAAATGCTTCATTCTCATTCCCATACTAAACATTTTATAAATCATTTGACATACCTACATTTACATATAATAACATTAAAAAAAAAAAAATGAATTAATAATAATCAAAGTCGAATCAAAGTATGGTATTATGTATGAGTCGATTTTTGATATTTTATTTTCAATGACCAATAATTATCTCTAAACCTTGTGATATTTTACTTTTTGAATTTTATTAACCGAGTTTAGAAATTAAAATATCGAAAATTTACTCTTATGCAGGCACATATTAACTTCTGTTCTACAATATTGATTATAGGTGTTTTTACTCTCAAACAGTTCGATAAACCATATTATTGGAAATACAAAAATTATATTTTATGGCATTTCCCATACTATCAATAACATAATATGATACCCCTTAATATTATTTAATGAAGAAAATCAATTAATATATTTTTAATTTTAAAAACTGTTCTTTTTTTCCGGGATTTGTTTATTATATGTGTAATTGTATAATAATAAATTAAGTGATTAACAATATTAATAATTGAATCACTAATTATCGTCACAGTTATTGTGAAAAGGGGCTGCAGACAATATTATTATGTCAAATGAAAAAAATAACCATCAATTTTGTTTTGTAAAAAAATTCAACTTTAAATTTTCATTATAATTTATAGTTCATAAGGGTGCAGCAATAATTGGTTACTACGGTTCTGCTGAACAATAAAAACCATTATTCTCAAAGTTATAAAATAACAAAATAACTTTTTACAATTAGATTGTCCAATACCCAAGTTGATATTTTCTTAAACCATAACATATCATGAACAAAATAGTATGTGCAAATCAATCAAGAAAAATGATGTGTTTTGTTTAACGGCAAATTAAGGTTTTTCTTTCTTTAAATAAATAAACTATTATATATATAAATTAATATAATAATTATTTAAATAAAATTATTAGTTATTTGACTTATCGTGATCTTACAAAATATATTTATATCCAACAACTCAATAATAAACAAAAACCTAAGTATTTCTTAAATATCTAAAATTACAAACACTTCACATTTCCCTTCATTTTCATGTATTTGCATATTGGAAAATGTTATAGCTTTTACTTCTGTTCCTTGAGGATGTTTTCCAAGTTGAAACTCTTCTCCAAAGCCTTTAGCTTTAATTTTAAATGCAGTTGTGTCAAATACTTCTATTTGTACTTTCTAAATTTAAATATTACATATTAATTATATACAGAGTATTGGAATATTTTAAGATTTTAAAACGACTGAACTAAATAGCTTACTCTTGCAATATAATTAGGTTCAGCACTAAATATGAACAACAATTCATCAAGAAAATTATACAAAAGAGTCATCATGTCATGGCCCTCAACTTCTATTTCATACGACTCTTTCATTTCAATATAATCAACTTCTGTCATGTAATGAAACATAGCATTGGCACATTGTTCAAATGCTTCAGACAATGTACTTCCCCACGCATGTATTCTACAAAAATAAAATATTAATAATAATCATAAATTCATTGCCAATTACTTTTTAGTAAAATCTAATGATTTAGACAATATTAAATTTCTCATATTTAAAAAATAAAAATAATATTTACTGAATATCTGCTGTATGGTCCAGATCTGAAACACATAGGTAAATTAAATAAAAAATAATGTTGAATACAGGTTTTAATAAAATTATAAGTGTTATAAAAACATACTATTACAATTAAATATTTTTTAAAGCATTAATTGATTCATGAACAACCTTAGCATAAAAATTCAGTATAATGGGTAGCAAAAAATTCTTTTTTAAGAAAAACTTAAATATTTAACATTCAAATTTGACATGTGTCATAAAGTGATTGTTAAGAACCTTTAAAGAACACTCAACAGGACTTTATTTTATTAAAATAGAACATTTTCAAACTTTATTCAACATTTCACAATAAGAAAATTATGTTGTACAAGAATAATAAGATGATACGATGGTGTGAGCACGATTTAAGATAGTATCTTAAATTGTGGGTGTGAGTGAAGGAAAGCATCCAGAGACGCTACTTCAGAAATCCACTCAGCTTTTTTTTATATGGTTACACTACAATGTGATTATGTAGCCGATTTCTTTTAAGATGGCAAGGAAAATTGTCAGGTAACGAATTAGAAGCAAGATTGGAAATAAAAGGATTCGAGGTACTGAATACTGATACTGAGTGATATCTCTTAACTTTTTTACTCTTTAATATTTTAGATAAGTATCAAAATATTTACAATTCTATCACAAATGTAATTAATTTTTAATAGGTAGGTAATCAAGTCAAAATAGATTTTAATTAGTGTAACACAAACAATTTTTAATATATAAACATTGGCTTGAAATAAAAATACACCTTCACATTGGTATTGTTTAATATAGCATATTATAGTATAGACTATAGATCATACTAGAACAATTTAAAACCTATAATCTGTCTCAAAAGAGAATAATCAGTAGACCAACTGATTTTCATTAGTGCTGCGCATCTCCCACCTACAACCTGGTGTTCACGGCGATCATGTGATTCTCGATGTGCCAATCACATCATACATTAAGTGCAAAAAATGATAGATCTCTTGTGAGACTGTACATCTAGGTAAAGATTCGTTAAGAGGACGTAACACTGGTATTTGTTGACTCCGTCTTACCAGTGCGTAACATACCAAATTTACGCTCAGCAGAACATTTGTAGCTTCGTAAGTTTAAACGTTGGTATGAATTGACCTATTATGAAACTTGAGGCTAAGAACATTATCTGTGTTTGTACGTTGGTATTTTACGATAATTCAGTTTTTAAGTGAGTTATGAGCATTTTTAATTTACGGTATATTATACACAGATAACTTGCTAGAAAATTGAACTATCTTAAAAAACCAACATACAAACACAGATAATATTCTTGCCATCAAGTTTCATAATAGGTAAATTCACTCTAATTTTTAAACTAACAAAGCTACAAGTGTTCTGTTGAGCGTACATTTGCTATGTAAGACGGAGACAACAAATACCAATGTTACGTCCTCTTAATAACAAATATAAATAAACAATACATAGAACATAAATATATGTGATCTCATTTTTTGATATTTATAGTTATTTTTTTTTGTGTTCTACTTTTGAATTGATAAACCAGGAATTTTACAAACTAACTTACATTTGTGATCAAACCATAATTAGGTATAATAGAAAAACATTTTTGACAGGCCTCACATTCGTATTTGCACTCCGGTAAATTCCAATCTTCTTCTTTAATGTCGCCCATGTCTCAAAATAGTATTTATTGAATATATTATAATGTTTTTCAACAAACTAAAAACAAACAAATTATTTTATATAATATTTGATTTTGTAGGTAAGTCGTCTTAAATGGTTGTTTGAACCAGTGGCGGCAGGATATAGGATTATTTGAAGCAATTGCTACATGTCTGAAATGGGTGGGTGGGTGTATAAATATAAATATATAAACGTAAGACCTCAACAAAAATATCATGGCAAATATTAATATAATTAATAATTATTTATGGCCCTTGCTGCTAATTTTGGTTCAATGAAGGGTACTATCAACCAAAGTTGGTAAAAATATTTAAAATAATATACAATATGCTTCAAAGTCTACACAATTTAGCGCTGCCACTAGTTAGAACTAAGTTGGGCATTGAAGTATAGAATGTAAAAAATACTAAAAGTTGTAGTTTGTACACGAATTGTACTAGTACTATTACTTACTGTTAAGTGTCAAGTAGTACAACTACCCCAACTACCTCTTACAACTTACAAGACTAGAATAATATTATATTAAATACTATAAGAGTAAATTTCAATTTCAAATTTATACTGAATCATAACAATTATTTTAAGTTAAGAAAATTAAAGAAATAAGAATGTTGATTTTTTTTCTGTCATCAAATCAAACACTATCACCATTCCGTTATCACCTTAAAAAAAAAATGTGGGAAAGTGGGATTTTGACCGGACAGTAATTTCGTCAGAATGTCTGGCAACACTGCGCACTTCAAACTCTACGAGCACAACATTATTGGTGTAAAAGCAGCAAAATATTATTCTATTCTGTGGCAACACTGTCAACGCCAAATACAACATCGGTCATCGGCATTCGGCACCTCTCTAATTTCGCGTCAATTGCTTGTTCTCACTACCTGAGCTAAGGCTACTTGCAACTTGCGATCAACCGAATTTTCATCCGTTCCGATCTTACGATGGCCATCTCAAAACCCGAATTAGCCTGCGTCTACGCCTCACTCATCTTGGCCGACGACGACATCGACATCACGGTAAATATTCCTCGATCATCCAATAACCATAATACCTAATAATATTATGTTGTCGCATACCCATGTAAGTGGCAAACACGACGGCACAGAGTCTCTTTGGTTTCTATACTTCCACTCTTGATGGCACGCTGTCCGCCTGTAAGCACTTCCTAATTCAGTGGCACACTTCCGTTTCGTTGCCGGAAGTCTGTGCGGCGACCATCGCAGCCGTTTTTCGTTTACCGCCGTGATCCCCCCCTCAGACCACGTTGGCGCCGTTTAGGTGGCAGAAATACTTGCAGAGATAAATTTTACTTTTAGGGGTGATTTTTCGTTACAAGTGGGCCTACAATCTCGTAGAGTTTACTTTCTAGTTGAATTATTGTTTTCTTTTTTTCGTATCATCGTTCCCGATTTTTGGTCCAAATTTTCATTTTGTATCGTTGGTATCAATATGTTTCGTTAAATGGTGTTCTCAAAATTTCACTTTCTATGAGTATCGATTGTATATTAACTGATTCTTTTCAAACTTGATAATATTGATACCCAAGCATTGTGTAATAATATGAATTATGAAATCCATTTTTATCATTTGCAATAAATTTATTATTTTATAGATAGGTACCTAGGTACTTACTCTTAATTATTCAAATGCCAATTTCATTATTTTTACAATATTTTATCAAAATATGTTATTAAATTCCCTGCTGTTTTAAGTGTATTGGGGTATTATTTATTTATAATCTTATTAGTATAGGGAGAAAAAATCCAAACCGTCTTAAAGGCCGCCAATGTTGAAGTTGAACCATACTGGCCTGGTTTGTTTGCCAAGGCTTTAGAAAATGCCAATGTTAAAGATTTAATCACAAACATTGGATCAGCAGTAGGAGCTGTACCGGCTGCAGGTGTCGCAGGTATGAATATTTTATAAGAACTACCTAAACTCTAAAGACTATTTTCTTGAAAAGTTGAGCTGATAATTTCTAATTTCCAATTGCAGCCGCTGCCCCAGCAGCTGAAGCCAAGGAAGAAAAGAAAGAAGAGAAGAAGGAAGAAGAGAGTGAAGAGGAAGATGATGATATGGGCTTTGGTTAGTACATTTTTGTTACTCATTTTCTTGAAATATTACTCTTCCATTTGAGTTCACGTATGCATACTAAGCTGCTGAATAGTTGCACCTGTTTGGTTAATGCCAGTGCTCGTAACATTTATAGAGGAGGATTGCCCACTGGTTTTTTTTGGTTGAGTACGTAAACTTTAATGGAATAGAGTATGGTTAACTACAGTAATCTTATTTATTACACCATAAACGTCACTCATTTTACCGCTGCCATTTAATACAATTACTACAAATAAAGTAGGTATGGTCAAAGCCCAAAGGTTTTGAGGTATACCTACTAACCTAGCATCAATTTAAGAGACTTAATGAATAAATTATCTTGCTGTAATAGGTACACCATATTATCACTGAAACCTACCTTTAAATTATATGGAAAAGATAATTCAAATAATAACTGGGTATTTCCAATGATTAATATCAAATTTGGCATGTATTATCATAACAACATTGATGAGTACAATTTGTATGAGGAAATTAACTCCTTACAAGTGTTACAACATGAGATTTGCATTAATATATTATTCATGTAGATTTGATTATTTAAATTTTGATCATTTGTTAGTTATCTGTACAGTTACAATTACTACGTTTATATGATGGCGTTAAAACGGTTTAAGACTAAACCGTTTTAACGCCATCATATAAACATAGTATACTATTGTTTGCATCATGTTTTTAAACAAAATGTAATATTAAATTTTAACTGTAATATGAATTTAGATACTAGCCAATATAGAATAAAATATATAATATACTTCCCAAAATATATTATGGAATTACAGATTATTGTGTGTTGTATTAAAATAAGTTTAGAAACGGGTATTGATCTTTCTTAACTTGTTTCTATAAAATACTCTAACATTGAATAATTGATTTCTAACATTACTTTAATTTTGTATTTTCAGGTCTATTTGAATAAAAATCTACCTCATCGACTGACTTCCTTCATACGAAAATGACAACATTAACTTTATTTGTTTTATATTGTAACTTGTACAACTATGCAAATTGAATTATATGTTGTTATTTTTTATTATTTATGTTATTATTAATTTTTATTCATTTATATTTTCCAATATTCAAACACTATTATTTCGGTATTTGATTAATGCTCATTCTTTACTATGCTGGCTTGCACTTATATTAAAAAATAATATGATGGAAGAAACCAGTAATTAGGTCATTATGATAATCTTATATAATAAAACGCTAATAACGCGTATAAGATCCGCGGGGAGCGCTCACGGCACTCCGCGTTTCTTCCATGACGACCAATCACAATACTTCCCGCGCGTTCGCTATAAATTCCGCTCGCTTATCTCCCATTTCCTTATCGACGAATATTTTCGAACATTATTATTATTATTAAAAAAAAACCCGTGTTTTTCAATTTTTTGACGTGATAATAACGTCTTATAAATCGATTACCCCACGACCGTCGGGCGGAGTGGGGGGACCCATTAAACGAGTAATTTTTTTTGACCAAGTATAACTTAGCCGGTATTCGACTTAGAGACCCCGTACCAATGGGCATCTCAATTTTTTAGGCCCCAGATGAATTTTCAACATTAGGGAACCAAAGCCCCCACCCCCCCACATTTTGAGTTGAGTATAACTCGGCCGGAATTCAAGTTAAAGACCTCGGACCAAGGGGGAACCCATTATTTTTATGAATACTACCGTTTTCCGCTTTAGGGAACGGGGGCACCTCCTCCCCCCCTTTTTGGATTTTGCTTTTTTGATGGATTTTGGTCCGGGAGAGTACTAACACCCACCTCGCCAAGGGGAAACTCGGGGTTTTGAGTTTTTGATAGGATTTATTGGGATTTTCTTAAATATTGTTTTTATTGATAAGGAAAGTGATAAGAATTTTATTTTATCGCCGCGAGCACGGCGACGCGGCTTAAGAGTCATACATTTGCCTCGGAATTTCATGTGAGTAGGTGGCTAGGTTGGTTAGGCGTTAGGATAAGTGACTGGAGGGTCGTGGGTTCGAAACCGCCGTCCGGGATTTTCGATAATTTGCGCCATCCGTGATAATTTGAATGTTTTTTTTTCGAGTTTTTTTTTTCGTCACATTTTTTTTTTTTTGGCAGAAAAATATTAATATATATTAAAGTAGATATTTTAAATTGTAACTAAATTGTATAATGATACTGTACTATTTTATAAATAATAATAATAATACTTGATTTTACCGTGACCAACGCACCTATATGTTTCTTATATAAATATAATATAATATAACTAACCTACATGTAGTACCTACTTGATATATTACAGTTTTTAGGTTAAATACTGTTTAATACGGTATTAATAAACTAATAGATCTAATAGAACTGATTAAACTCTGGCAGTTAAATAGTACGACTATATGACTGCTCTTTTTGCCGTTTTTTTTTGAAAATTATAGTTTTAGCCCCTTTCGGTCATATCACACTCCCCGTCGACTACTTATTCGCGTTCCCTGCTATATTTATAGCCACAGACGAGTCCCGGGGTGGAGTAGTGTGTCGGAAACGAGAGTAGGTACCGTGTAGGTATCGCTATATACAGGCATATATACGCATGTATATACATGCGCCTCGAGGTTCGATTTTTTTCGCAAATCTCGCGTTTTGAACGTCCGAAGGTGGCGGACACGGTGGTCCGCTCAAACGCCCTTAAGAGTCATAGATTTGACTCCTAATTTCATCTCGGAAGGTGGCTAGGTAGGTTAGGCGTTAAAACGGGTGATTCGACGGTCGTGGTTTCGAACGCCGGCGGGGCCGTGTTAAATCGAATTTCTTTTTTTTGCGTTTTTTTTTTCGTCACATTTATCATTTTTAACGAAAGTGTTAATTTTTTTTTTAAATTTGCATTATTATATTATATATATTATTATTATTCGTTTGACGATATTTATTGGGCAAAAAAATAATTATAATTAACATTTACCGACGCACCTACATGTTTCTTTTAATAATACATTATAATATAACTAACCTACGTGTAGTACCTACTTGATATATTACAGTTTTTACGTGATTCCGATTTGGTTAAATACTGCTACAGATTATAAATACTATATTAAAAAGTAGTACGACTGTAATATGACTGCTTCATTTGCCATTTTTTTCGAAAATTCGAGTCCCGGGGTGGAGTAGTGTGTCGGAAACGAGAGTATGTATAGTGTATTCATTTATAGATACCTACGTTTAATAGGATAGTATTACATTTCAATAAAATTTGTTATTCACCAATATAATTATCTATTTGTTAATTTGACTTAATTCTCATAATTAAATAAATATACAAGGTAGGTATATTTTAGAAAATATCCAATCAGAAAATTAGATTTTGTCGACTTATTTGTTATAACCGCGAAAACATAACAATGATTACATTGATTACAGTGAAGCCTAACATAAAACACCTGATAACTGTTCTCTATAATTATCAACAAATACAATTTTATTACCTCCTGTATACTTTTTCATATTTGAACGGCCGTTTCGAGCACTTTTCGCTGTAGGCGGATTGTCCGTTCGGGAATCGGATTTCACCCGAGATGACTGATAACTAGACACTCAAACTCAGAATCCGAATTTCCGATTTCAACACACATACGAGAACCGGACACACACGCCCGGTGGATGGTCTGCGATCCGACGTAGTCGGATTGCCTACCTGACTAGCTACTTGCATACGAGCGACTTACACCCCCACTGCATCTGACACTCGGGAATCGACTTTCACCCGAGATGACTGATAGCTAGATACTCAAACTCAGAATCCGAATTTCCGATTTCAACACACATACGAGAACCGGACATACACGCCCGGTGCATGGTCTGCGATCCGACGTAGTCGGATTGCCTACCTGACTAGCTACTTGCATACGAGCGACTTACACCCCCAGTGTCCCCCACTGCATCCGACACTCGGGAATCGACTTTTACCCGAGATGACTGATAGCTAGACACTCAAACCCAGAATCCGAATTTCCGATTTCAACACACACACACACCAGAACCGGACATACCCGCCCGGTGTATGGTCTGCGATCCGACGTAGTCGGATTGCCTACCTGGCTGGCTGTGTCGTACGATCGACTTGAATCGCGTGACTTACGACTAGACACTCTTCCGAGTTCAAAAATTACCGCTTAACCAGTGCTGCCAACACGACAAAACACAATAACCGACGACCCCCCATTCCCGCCGCAGCTAGGCTGGATCAAAAAACCCAGCATCGCCGACAAAGATGCACCACCGCCCACACAGTCTTTCCGCCGTAGGCGGGATGACAAACACCGGAAACTAGTAAGATGTATAAAACTTGATAGGTACACTAAAGATTAATACACTGATAAAAAGTTTGTAGGTTAGCATGTAATGTGTTATGTAACATAATATAATTTAATCTATTAATTAGGTTATAAGTTGGTATCAGCATATATATGTTATTAATTGATAGTTCATCAAAAACACAAATAATTGAAACAATATAAATTTTTATAAGTAAAAATGTAATCAAATTTAGATTACTCGTCTCCTTGACTTTTGGACCACTTATATCTGATATATTCTGAAGATTTAGTTATTTTTATTAATATTTAGTTACAACTTACAGTTTGATTTTTAAAATTCATATTTCATTCATTAAGCAAAATGTCCAATAAGTTTGTATCCGTCAAAGATTTTGAAAACTATGCTGTTGGTGCATTGCCACGGACTGTTCTTGGATATTATCAAAGTGGGGCATGCGATGAATACACACTTTCGATTAATAATAAAGCATTTAATAAGTAAGAAGATTCGTTTTATTTATATGAAACATAATAGATTAAAATATTACAATATGGTTTGAAGATTGCGCATAGTTCCACGAATGTTACGTGATGTTCGAAATAGGGATTTGAGTGTCACCATTCAAGGTGATATTGTAAATGTACCTATAGGTATATCTCCTTGTGCTATGCACAAAATGGCTCATGAAGACGGAGAGTGTGCATCTGCTAGAGGTATTATAACTGAGGCTATTATTACATAGGCGTGCGCACAGGGGGTGCTGTGGGTGCCTGGGCACCCACGGACCCTTCACCAAAAACGACAAAGGACCTAATTATTAATTAAATGTAAATTAAATTAATGAAATTATTGATGCATTCAAAATGTTGTTCCTTTTAAAGTTTTAAACGTCGATTATCATTATAAGATTGTATATGATTGTAATATTTATTAGAATGAATAATAAAATAAAATAAACATTTTTAGTGCATTTGATATCTTTAAGACATTTGTCTGTATCTATAATTGTTTTCAAAATTATTGTGGGCCCTAATTTTTAGTGGTACACCCCCGGAACCAAAAGTCTGCGCACGCCTATGGCTATTAAGAACTAGTAATATTACATAATGGTTCTACAATTAATAAATTAAATAGCTGCTGGTAAGCATGGTGCAATTTTTATACTTTCAACATTGTCAACATGCAGTTTAGAAGAAGTTGCCGCAGCAGCACCAAACACTGTGAAATGGTTCCAACTCTACATCTACAAAGATAGGTATACGAGTACATTGATAACTATTTGCAAATCTCAAATACTTGCTTTGTTGTAAATCTTAAATATTTATGAGAGATATATTGCGCTTATAGGGTTTTAACCACATCATTAATACGAAGAGCAGAAAAATCTGGATACAAGGCACTTGTGTTGACTGTTGATGCCCCTGTGTTTGGCATCCGGTATAAAGACATAAAAAATAACTTTACCTTACCGAGCCGGTTGAAGTAAGACATCAATTTAAAATGAGACCGATAATTGAATGATGTTTTTAAAATTATTATATTCTAGGTTAGGGAATTTCTCTGAAGAACTGTCAATAATGGACCAAACTAATGGTTCGGGCTTGACAAAATATGTAATGAGTCTTTTTGATGATCGTTTGGTATGGGATGACATCAAATGGTTGAAAAGGTTATTAATTATTATATTATAATATATTTACTATGCGTAAACTATGAATTATGTGTATATGGTAATATTGAAGCAAATAATGAATAAATATATTTTATTATTCAGCATTACAGACCTGCCAATTATAGTAAAAGGTATTTTAAGTGCAGCTGATGCTAAAATTGCCGCTGATTTGGGATGTGACGGTGTATTTGTTTCCAACCACGGTGGAAGACAGTTAGATACAGCTCCAGCAACAGTATGTTATGAGTGTTGAGTGATAAAAAAAAATGTTCTCCCTGTTTATTCTGAATAGCATACAATTTATTTTAGATTGAGGTCTTGCCAAGCATTGCACGAGAAGTTGGACATCGTGTTGACATTTATCTCGATTGTGGCATAAGGCATGGAACCGATGTGTTCAAGGCTTTAGCTCTTGGTGCTAAAATGGTACATTTTCAAATGTTTACAAATTTACAATAATAACTACCTTTATGATTTATATTCTTTAATTGCGTTTAAAACTTTATAATTATATATAAATATGTTTGTATAAAATGTTATTTTAATTTCTAGGTGTTTTTAGCACAACCTATATTATGGGGCTTGACGTATGATGGCCAAAAGGGGGCAGAGGATGTTTTTGGTATTGTTGTTAATGAATTCGATAACACCATGGCTTTAGCGGGTAATTACTTATTACTTATACCATATTATTCTATGCTTTTACATAATGCCATATCACATCGAGTGTCTACTAAAGTACATGATGATTTCAGGTTGTGTGTCATTAGACCAAATTAAGAAGGAAATGGTGGTACACAAATCAGTATATTCAAAACTTTAAACTTATATTTTGTTTATACTTAATTTATTGTACAAATAAACTATAGACTTTAAACAAAACAGCATGCTAATAAATATTTTTAACTTAAAAAATTCATTGTACGCCTCAAATCTATCATTACACAAAGGCCTAAATATTGAAACAGTTTCTACCACAGTTAAAAGATATTACAAAATCCACTAGTATTCAGTAGTATCCATTCTAGCCAATGAATTTATCTCAGACTGAATAGACACGGGTGTCGTAATTTTTTTTATCCCTACCTATATTAATGATTAAATAAACCTATTTTCTCCAAAGTCACAGTGTTTCTTCATTGGTGAGCATCTCACGATTTTTTTATGTTGTAAGTGGAAATTGGTAAATTCTAAAACAAATTGTATCAACGATCAAAAAATAAATCTCAATCAGTCAAAAAGTACCGATTCTTTTTTACTGTCGGACAAAAAGTCCGAAAATACAAAATTGTCTATTAAATGTATAATGTATACATGTAATATGCACATTATATGCATCTAATAATAAAGTCAGTTCATATATAATTAATATTTATTTAAAACATTTTTTTTATGTATTTTATTACTTCTTATTATTTCTGCGATTACTGACACCATGTCACAAATTCACAATATACAACATATAGGGGAAAAAACCCATATAATCATGAGACTACTTTTCTGGGATTTTTATTATACTTACCTCCAGCAATCTTACAAAATAAAATAGGTAATAATAAAAAATCGAAACCTTGTTGTTTTAAATTTTCAATCCTTAGCTATAAAAATTGAACATTTTATAATTTTCACATTACGTTTGGCTCATACAATAATAATAATAATTTGATATACATTACGTTTGCCTATACAACAATAATAATAATTTTAATAATTTAACAATTAACAAGAAATTTTTGTCGACGTCAATACAATAAAATTATAGGTAATAATATTTTAAAAAAAGTTATACGTTTTAAAAAATCTAGTCTACGTAGACTAAAACAATAATAATTTGATATACCTACATTACTGTAGACGTTATACTGCCGATATAAACATTAGATAGATATAAGTATATAACCTACCTACCAAACTACAGTGGATTTCCGTTAACTGTTTTTGTTAAGTATAAGAAATAATAAGAAGTACCTAATAAAATATAAAAAAAAAATACAATAATATAATGAAAATACAACAATTACTTTTTTTAAATAAATATTAATTGTATATGAACTGATTATATAATATAATATTACATGTATAAAATACATATATAAATATTATTAGGTATATTATAATTATAAATTTTATAGACAATTTTGTATCTTCGGACTTTTTGTCCGGCAATCAAAAAATGAATCCGGACTTTTAGTCCAACTTTTTTCATTCCGGACTTTCCGTCCGGGATTCGTTTAGTGCAACAGTTAAAATAATGTAATTAATTTTAAAATAGGAAAAAATTCTAACACATTTATAGGTTTCAATTTGACTTATTAAATTATTAGTAGGTATTCAGGGATTTTTCTCAACTCGAATGTCGTTGACTAATGACTATTCATTGATGACGATTGACGGTTTTAAAATATTAATTATTCACTTATTAATGTTTATATTAACACACCATTAATTATTCAATTCGCGGTCAATGATAACAACTTAATTTATTTTTCCATGAATTATTATCACTTTTGAACTTATCACTACCGGACACTGTAAGAGATAAGTTTTTAAAAAAAAATATAAAAAATGGTAAATGCCTAAGCCTTTAATATTTTAAATATAAATTTTTTAAATTATAATCGAGTATTGATATAAAATTCACCTAAGTATTATTATGTTATATAGTTATAAGTCCATTTGAAAAATAACTATGTGGAGTGTTATGAATCGCCGTGTGTTCTTTAGGAAACTTGATCGGAAACTTATTGCTCGTTGCTCGTCCACAAACGGTTCATATGGACTAGATAAAATAAAACCATTACCCGTTCCAGATATAGTGAGGAAACCACGTCGCTTACCGTTTTTGAAATCAATATACGCCGGTCAGTATGATATCGAAGTCCTTACATATCCAGAAACACTTAATCTGGAAAGGTTTAAAGACCTGGAATCCCGAGTGCAACAAGTCCAGAACAATTGTACGAAAATCGACACTGTTCGTCAACTAGGACTGTTTGGCATGAGTGCTCCATACCCAAGCTCGGGCCTCAACTTATCCGACACCGAAATAGCACGTATATTTGAACACTTTGATTCCAACACGTTTAAGTCCGTATTTGATCACACGCTGTGCGTTGACATAATCAAAACTTTTGGTACTCCTAGTCAAAAATCAAAATATTTACCATTGCTCGCTTCGGGTGCCGTATGCACATTACACGTCGATACTGTAACAAGTAAACTACTGCCCAACGAGAGCTGGGAACTCACAGGCTCTGTGAAAAATTCTGCAGATGTTTTCTTGTTATTTGTCATTGGAAGTAAAGCCTACATAGTCGAAAAGGATAAAACTTTTGTCAACGGGGAAAATTTAGAATTGAGACAGGTAATTGTTGCTCCAGATGATGTAATGGAAAATGTTGATTTAACAAAAATAATGTATAGAGGTAAATTATACACGTGTTCTGTATTAACTACGTCTTTGAAGAGAGTTGTTCAAGCAACTGTTCAGAATTTAATACCAAAAACTAGGTTAAGTTTAAAATTGAGAGAATGTGATTCTGTTCTGAAGATAATATCAAAATCGTTAATAAACATCTATACACTTGAAAGTATGATATATCTGACCACGTGGATGACTGATGGATTTGATGATCCAGACATAGAGCTAGAGTCGGCCTCCATACAGCTATTTGCTCGTCAAACAGTTGACAGTATATTGATAGATTTAAAAATGGTAAATGGAAGAAGTTCAATAAATCAAAAGTTTTCGACTTTATGCAATGAGGTGGAAGATTTAGTTGAGAGTTTGGAAGGAACTATGAAACTAGCTAATTTTATTAGTAGTCGAGGTGTGGAGTTTTTCAATAAATCTGATTATGAAGAAGATGTGTCATTTCTGACTACAGCTTATAGAAATTTAATGATGAAAAGAAATGAGCCTAGCTTAAAATATGGCCTTCAACAATTCCTACATCCTGCACTCAAGGTATATACTATTAATGGTATATGGTATTTGTTACTGAACTAATCTTAATTAATTTTTTTTCCATTTTAGCATGCTGCAAATTTTCTCGAGTATGATGTATTGAAATTTCAATTTATAATTAACCAATGCCATGCTGCCGGTCAACTGAGTACCGATAATCAAATGCTTATGGAAAGGTTGTCAACAGTAATCGTATACATTTATGCCATGACAGCAGTTCTTGGTAGAGCATCTAGATCGTATTGCACTGGAATCCGGTTTTGTGATTATGAAGTAATTAAAATAACTTTTTAAGTTGCTTGGAGTTGCAATTGATTAGGTATAACTATTATTTTTATGACTGTATTTTATTATTATTCCTAGATGAATACTGGAGAAACAGTGGTTAGAGAATCGTGTACTTTACTTAAACCAATTTTAGAAGAACTGATGAGTGGTAAATATGTTGCAACAGATTCAGTCTACGAATCATTTGCGGACCAATTATTATTTAATAATATAAATAGAGGACAAACAGAGACGTAAAATGTATAATTTATACTTGATTACATTTTTATTATTGTCAAATAGTGTATCATACAAATATGTTTCAAATTCAATTGTCTATAATTTAAGTAAAATATTTTTAGTTTTAGTTATATAATAACATAATAACTGTAGTTATCTACATCCAAACACCTAATTTTGAAAAATGATCTTTTGAAGCATAATATTATGTTGTGTGGACATTGAATATATGCTGGCACATAAACAGGTATAAATTGTTTTTGATGAAAAAAAAATTTTGTGTTATTATACTTTGTTATTTCTGAGTATTTATAAAAAATAATATACATAAAAAATATTTTGTATTATTTTATTTCATTATGGTACTTATATAAGATATAACACATGGGTGGCAAACCTACGGCAAGCGTGCCAAAGATGACACGTTGGTAACATTTCAATGGCACGTGAAAAATTAATATTATAAACAATTATGCTGTGTTATGTATAGATAACATTTTGGTTATAATAGGATATGTAGGATAACTGCCATACATACGTGACAAGTTTAAATCGACAGACGACGGAAAAGAATTTAATAAATCCGTATCTTTATTTTTATGCTTGTAGAAAATATAATTTCCTTTGGGCACGTAAACAATTTTCAAAACCTTGATTTGAAAAATTTGGCACTTGACCCAAAAAAAGTTTGCCACCCCTGAATTATAACAGGACTATTTATTAAATTTCTATTACAAATGTTACTATATTTGTTAAATAGTCCTGTTGCCCCTTGTATAATATCACATAGTTTGTGGTAACAAACCTGAAGTTTTCTGATTTGTCTGTACAAAAAAAAATAAGTAATACAAAAGAATGACATTAGTATATACAAATTCTTATATACAAAATAGTGAATACTCCTATACCTAATGTAAAATAAAACAATTAAATAATAGTTAATATACGTAGAAATATGTTTTATGAGTTTAAAAACAATATGTTTAATTTTAAAGAATGTTAAAAATCTATAGATAAAAAGAGACAAAATAAAGTTAAAGAAACCTTGTAGAACAAAATTTATATCATTTACAAATGCTGGTTGTGTGGTTTAATTTGTTTATTCTTATAATCTTTATTAGAATAATATTCTCTTAAAATTAAATTGAGGGATGACAATATATTGAAATATTGTCCCAAAATGGCCATTGAAATATAATATTGCTTATTTGCCCATCTAGTAAAAAAGTTTGACGCCGCCACTTCTTCGGTAGGTATTCTATAGTAGTACCTATACTCTATAACCTATAGGTAGGTATAATAAAGTTACAACTATCAATTTATTGAAAATACTTGAACAATTTACTATTTATTTTTAAATAGGTAACTATGTAGGGGTTTTTTTTATATATAGTATTCTGTATTTGATAGTTAGGTACTCATTGAAATCAAATGTATTTTGTATTTTAAGACAATTACTTTTGAAAGTGTTTCGCCAATCCCTGATTTACACTCTTGTTATTGTTTATGTTGTACAATGCATGAGCCAGGCGAGGTTCTAGGACTACATTTTCGTATGGGCAACAGTAGATTTATAATTAGGTTTTAACTGCCAATTATATTCCTCATATCCTCCCCTTCTCCAATGAGGGGCACCAGAAATTTTTTTTATTGGCAGCTGCCCACCCTGCCCATACACTAAAACCGTCACTGGCATGAGCGTGTATAAAAACAACTATCGATATTTCTTTAAAACAATTTCACATACCTACTCGCTTCACGGTTATTGGGTCTGTATTTTGTACAAATTATAATATAAACGGTGTGTTGGTGTACATAGCCAATAGTCATATTAGTTTTTTAGTTATAACTTATAAGTATTATATAGTTATAAGTTATAACTATATATTATTTCAAGTTAAGAAAAAAAATATATATTATCAATATTAATCCCCGTAAATTTTTCTTATCTAAAACATAATAACTGGCACTGAACACCAGTTTGGTGTTGGTTTCATTGTGAATGATATGGTATTACATAGAGTCAAGAAGTTTAAAACAGTGAATGACAGAATTTGTTGTATAGAGCTGGAGTGCCGATGGTTTACGTGATATTAATTAACGGGTACGGGTATGCTCCAACTGAAGACAAAAAAGATGAAGTCAAGGATATTTTTTACGAAGATTTGGATAATGTGTGCGACCGGATACCGACCGACAAGGTGAAAATCTTACCTACTAGGAGATTTTAATGCAAAAATAGGGCAGGAAGTAGTATATAGACCAACAATTGGGAAGGAAAGCTTACATAGAATATCAAATGATAATGGCACAAGATTAATTAATCTAGATTAATTAATTAATTAATTCTGCTACGGTCTACGATTAGAAGTATGATAGTAAGTAGCACCACATTCCTAGGTAGGTAGTACCCGCTGCTGATGGTAGTACCCGATGCTGATGGTAGTACTTGTGCTTATGGTAGTTACTGCTGCTGATGGTAGTACTTTGTGCTGATCAGCTGATGGCAATACCTGCTGCTGATGGTAGGTTAGGTTAGGTTAGGTTTATATTATTTATTAAGGATATTTATATAATTATATCTCATTACCATTATTATAATACCATACACAAGTCACAAATCAAACCTTATTGGAAATATGTACCTAACTAAACTCTAAAATGTAATGACATTTAACAATATATCGTGTAATGGTATTACCTATTTATTATCATATTATTACTTAAACACTGTAGGTTAATATCATAATTATTTTCATTTTCAAATACCAAATATATACCTAATAATAATAATATGCATTGCTGAGCTGTAAACAAAATATGATATTCATGAGAAATAAAAACATTAGATATTATCATCAGGTTAGTTCAATCTCAGTTGAGGTACGACAAAATGTCTCGTTGTGTTTAGTTTATGTTTATCTGTTGTACGATTAAAGACTGAAAATATATGTACACAACGTATTAATGTCAGGTCTATTTTCTAAAATCTAAGTCGAGAAAATATTTGAATGAATTCCTGAAACACAGTAAGTTTTAATATAATAATAATAGGTAATGTTAATCCAACGTTTATTTTTCGAATCACGTAATCGAGACGCTCATTAGTACAAGTGTTAAAGGAAACGATGTACCTAATACATTATCATTTTTATTCGTGTACAAATTTATTTCGTTTCATTAATTACTTTCAATAAATTGAAATTTAAATAAAAATATTCCACTGACCGTGATGCCATTAAAGAAATATATCAGGCTATAAGTATAATATATTGAGACTAACAATTATGTGTTGAGAATATCTGAATATATGAATAATGTTGACTGGTGAATATTTTACATCGATTTTTATATTTATATTTTTATATTTTTTTATTGTTATATTCTGTGTTTTTACTGAATTATTGAGGTATTTAGCTATTATATATTAGATTACAATTTTCGAAATATTTATACCATAAATAATTTAATTGTTTTTTTTTTTAGTTATTGTCAGCAAGGAATAACAGTACCTAACTAACCTATATGTGCCTGAGCCTGATTGTTCTGATTTTTTTTTTGAAGATTATTTATCATTTTTATTAGTATCTACTATTTAGTAACAAACTAACAATTATTTAAATATTTTAATGTCAGTGTTAAAAAAGTGGCTAAGTAGTAAGTAGATAACGGCTCACGCTCTTCTGTCCTCTGTCACTTGTCAGTAAGTGTTGAGTATACCTCAAAAACTCAGTGGTGGAGTGGGAATCCGGGAAAAACCCTTTCGGTTTACTGTTTGTACTTGAATATAGCTTATTGTTCTATACACGGAAAAAAAGTATGGCTAGGTACAATCCATTCGTTTTGGAATAATAACAAAATATGAAAATCGTCAATTTACTGGTGAATCCAATGTGGTTAGAAAATTTGATATTATTTATATTTTAAATTTTTATGTACCTACTTATTAGTTATTCTTATTACACATATTATTATATTATTATGTATAATATTTAATATACACTTAATATATATTCCTGTTTGTAAAAATAATATTAATTACCTAATTATAATTTTAGGGTTGGCATAAAAATAAGTTCTGGAATCACTGATTCTGATCATATTTTACCGGAGCTGTTTTGTGACTATGGATTAAACACAATAATCTGTAGGGCTGTATTCATAGTCGATTCTTAATTATAAATTTTGATAATTTGAAAAAAATGTGTGATTATAACTAAAAGCAATGCTTAATTTATTTCTCGATCAAGCTTAATTATTTAAGTAATAGATACTTTTTCTTTTCTTAAGCCAAAGTCTCGTTTATGAATTTCATTTGAGTCATAAGTTAGCAATACTTATTCCTAAGGATCGACTACGTTTTATTTTATGTGTTACAATTTATTAGGTAGGTTTAACTATTATTATTCCTAGATGAATACCGAGGAAACAGAGAATGGTGTAGGTACTTAACCTAAACCAATCTCACAAAAACTGATGAGTGGTAAATACTAAATATAGTAGGTAAAACAGATTCAGTTCACGAATCTTTGCCGACTAATTATTAATTAATAATATAAATAAAGAACAAACAAAGACATAAGATGTATAATTTATACTTTATTACATTTATATTTTTGTCTAATAATGTATAATACAGATATATGTTTCAAATTCAATTGTGTATAATTTAAATAAAATATTCTTAGTTTTAATTCTATAATTACATAATAACTGTAAATATCTACATTCAAACAACTAATTTTGAAAAATGCTCTTTACAAGTATAATATGCAATGTGGACATTGGACATTTACTGAAACTTAAACTGGTTTAAAATTGATTTTGATGAAATAAAAAATGTTTTATTATACAATATTATTTCTGAGGTTTTATACATAATATGATAATATTATATATAAAATATTTTGTATTATTTAATTACATTATGGTACTTATATAATATCCATAGAGGTTGTGGTAACAATGCTAAAGATTACTGATTTGTCCATACAAATAAACAATATGTAATACAAACT